ACACATGTTTAAAAATTAACCTCTGCATCTTCCCCATCGAATAAAATCCAGCCTGTAATTAATTACATTTTCTTTCATATATTATGATGTGCTTATTATAGTTTTTCCCTCTAAGATAAAATGCCCATCCAGCATGTAGTGTTTTGCTGACTCCTCAAAATATTCATTTAAAATATTTAGATTCCTCACTCTCAGCTGAAACTTTTACATAAAGCAACTTGCAGCAGTAATAATTAGCAACATAGCATTCCAAAAATTACCAGCAAAGATCTTTAACAAGCACCTTTACAGCATAAAACAAAAGACTTAAAAACACTATAGCAGCAAATTCTGAAGGCAAGTAACAAGAAACATTTATTTATGCCCTACTTTTTCCCCTGAAGGGACTCGTTACAAGACAAAATATAGTCTTAATAAACCAGCCAACAAAAACAAATCAACAAATTATGTCCTAACCCTTCTCCCTTGCAGCATTGCCGAAGAAGACAGTTGCAATTGTATTAAAGGGGAATCCTTTGCAGGAACCAGCTTACTGCTACAGAATACATACTCAGTTCAGGAAATAAATTTTGCCCCCCACACACCTTTCCTACAACACACTAGTAAGGAGAGTAAGGTTTGTTGGAGAAAAAGATACGAGCACTGCAGGCCTCAGTTTGACCCAGAGCTCCTCAAAATCTCTTAACTCAAGAACTGGTCTTTCATATTACAAAGTAACAAAGCAAGAAGGCCATAGGCCACATGTAGAATACGTCAAAGGTATTCCCTCTTCACTGGGCATTTAACTACTTACAACCAGCCCAAACCAGATTAAGTGTTGCTGGTGTCACAAAAGAGATTTTCAGGAATCCAACACCTTTCCTTCCAAGAGGAAATAATTTTCAAAAGCTCTGGTAACAGAATGACAGAGAGCATGGGCAGAATGCCACTAACGATACAATCCTATACATGTCATATTCAATGAGATCCACTCTTGAGCAAGCATATAAAGGACTGGAGCCTGAAAGAAGTTTGGTTTTCTTGGGGCAAGGAAGTTTATACTGGGGGGGGGGTGCTTCAGCCTCTTTCCTCACACACACATTAACGTTACCTCTTATCACTCTTCAACTTCTTAGAGCCAAAGGCAAGGCTGAAGGACATATTTCTCCCTCACACTAGGAGGGAAGCTGGGCTTCATTCTGCAGTAGCAGAATCCCATTGTGGGATGCATATACATAACCAGGCCTTGCCCTCTTATGAACAGAAAATGGCTGCATTATTCGAAGTTTGAAAGGGCCCAGCCAAATCCCCTCAGTGAAATGGACACTTAAAAAAAAGGGGGGGGCTGGATTCAATAAAACATAGCACTGTGAATGAGAGCAAAGGGAGAATTTAAAGAGACAGTACACTAGATAGTTGGGGCTTTGGTAATAGGATGGGACCTGGAGATCTTTTGCAATTGCAGCTGGTCACCAGCCCATAGAGATCAGTTCCCCTGGAGAAAATGGCTGCTTTGGTGATTGGACTATATGGCCTTATACCCTGCTGAGTTCACTCCCCAGGCACTACCTCAGCAGGGTCCATCTGCCAAAGTTGCCCTTTTTTCCAGGAAAACTGATCTCTGTAGTCTGGAGATCAGTTGTAACACTAGGAGATCTCCAGGTCCCACCTGGAGGCTACACCCCCAAATTGCCAGGAATTTCTCAATGTAGACATGGCAGCCCTCCTTACAAAAATTATACATGTGTATAGGCATACAATTGTTGGACTCCATGGGATATTTAAACTGGTGCAGTGTGTGCGCGCGTGCACGTGTGAAAGGGGCATGAAGAGAGAAAAGGTAGACAGAAGCTAGACACTCCTAAAATGTTTGGCAAAAGCTTAAATCCAGCCATGCGCAGTCAGAAACACGGACAGACAGTGCACATTGGCTTCTGCAACCAGTGCCTTCCTCCCTACATGTCCTAGTACCTTGAGACTAACTGTACAACATCTTGCTCAAGTGGAAACGCAAGTGGAGAATACAAGAAATTTGACTTAGAGCAAGCAGCTACCACAGTCTTTTTCTGGTCTTTCTGCTTGCACAAGAGCTGTAGTGCAAGCAGAAATTCTGCGCTAGATGCAGTCCAAAGTGTGGTATTTTTCACAAGACTGTTGCAGTGATGCTGTGTTGGCCAGAGATACTGTAGGAATACCTTTCCTCATTGACAGCTATGTGCTTGAAAATTAGTGCCCCATCCATCCAGCACATGCTATCTGCTTCCGAGCTGGGAGTTCTGTTCACAGAAGCATTTGTGTGCGGCTCCTCTTTCAGATTGTGTGGTCCATTATTGGTCGTCACTAGCAGAAGAAGCTGGTCAGGAGATTAGTAAAGTCAGAATCAGATGGGACACTTCAAACAAGGCATTTTCGACAGAAGCCTATGACACTTTTCCAAATTTGAGGGCTGTTTTGCACACTTCTGCCAAATTGCACAGCCAAAAGTGTGGAAATCTGTCATCTGAAACAGCGCTCAGGGCTAATGGAGACTGAATATTAACATGGTCAACAATCCTTGACAGCTCCCTCCGTGGTCACTGATGGGTTTTGATTTTTTGCCCAGGAGGAAGGGAAGAAGAGGATCTTGGATGTGGTCATAACAGAGCTGTTGTTTCACAAATTTTTGTTGCAGAATTAAGTTGGCGTGGATGATACAGGTACCCAAGAGTGTTATTAGAAGTAAGCAGAAGAACTTCTATACACAACAATTCTTCAGGGACAAAGAATGACACATCCACACTCTTTTCAGCTCCAAAATGATCCTCTCATGATCGAACAGCAGAGCATTGACTGTGGCGTACTACCCCGTCACTAATCGAGTGACTTCTATGTGCGTGTTAAACCATGATGGACAACCATTTCTCTGTTTGAAGTACAATCTGATCAGAAATATGAGCAGGATTCTCGAATGGTCAAAACATTACTTTTTTTATTGAACACCCGAAATTTGTCTAAACTCTGTTGTGACTGTGAATGGTTTGTGAATGTGTGTTCTTGAAGTACTTTCCTGTAGCTACCTCCTTCTCTTCCCCTCCTGCTATTCATCTAACACACCTGGGGGGGGGGGTTTAGTTTACAAAAGAAGAACTTTCCTTGGGTGGCTCTAGCATGTTATGCTTGGTGTGGGTGAGGGGAGAGTGTGCAAAGCTGTGTGGCTTCTCTCCACAGCATTCTGGTGATGGCTGTTTTCCTACCTGACCCCCAAGCTGACAGTGATTCATGTTAATCAGGTGCACTAAACCAGAACACAAATGTTCTGATGCTGCCACTAGGAACTGTGGTACAATCATGTTCTGAGCATGCAGAAATACTACAAATGACATAGACTGATGAATAACACTGACTGCACAGGTCCAAAGGCAGTAAAGTAAAGATAAAGGTTTCCCTTGCTCAAAAGCTAGTCAAATCTGACTCTAGGGGGTAGTGCTCATCTCTGTTTCCAAGCCGAAGAGCCAGCGCTGTCTGAAGATGTTTCTGTGGCCAGCATGACTAAATGCCAAGGCACGCAGAAGGCTGTTGCCTTCCCACCGAAGCGGTACCTATTTATCTACTTGCAATTTCTTGCTTTCAAACTGCTAGGTTGGCAGGAGCTGAGGCAGAGACGGGAGCTCACTCCATCTTGCGGCACCCGGGTCTTACAAACATTCCAAATGTAGGTGATTTTAAATGATGCACGATCTGCCCATGAGAACCCTAACTCAAACAAACTAGGAAACAAAATGTTTTAACATGTTAATGGCCAGATACCATGCTGAAGGTTGCTAGCAGCTCTCATGCAAAACTGGTCAATTTTTGAAATCAAATAATCTCTAATTAATTGATGAGCATCACTATAGTAGTTACGAAATACAGGAGCACTGGCTCATTTCCTTGGGACGAGTGTGCCTATTTTTAAACACAATGAAACCTTGGGTGGAAATGTGCCAGAATTACTGCCCAAGTCAACTTAAATCAATGCATGAAAAAATCACATTCGACTTCTAAAAACGATCAGTCTCACACTCTTTTTTTATTTGGCATTTGCTTCATCTGTTATATATACACATATTTAAAATCTGTACACAGTAAAAAATAAACAATGATTTTATAAGTTACACAGTTAAACCGCTAAACATCTCTTTGAGTTAAAAAAAATTACAAAATAGCTCCAACTGCACACCCCTTCCCCTCATCCATATATAGCAAAGTCCATCTGTATACTCACAGTAGGCTTGGTAAAAAAATATCCATACAGTGTGTAAGAGTACAAAATAATGTACAGTTTATAAAAGCTGTGCAAAGACAGCAAAGTTCAGTAAAAAAAATCAAAGAGATGTGGCCCATTTCCCTATGTTCACATTACAGCTTCAGCAGACACAAAACGAAGGATGGCCAAAGAACTGGGGACAGATGTGGATGTGGTGCCAAGAGAGATCAATAAATTAACATAAAACATTCCCATTTAGATTTATGGCAGTGGCCAGAAACAATCTAAGGCCCTGTTCCCTGACTGTATTCTACTGTAGGCTGTGAATGGCTCAGAAGAACACTGATCCGTCAGCAGCCTAGAGGATGTGACTGGTACAGCAGCCATTCTCAAGAGTATGGTTTCTTGGGAATGCCTCCGAGTCCTTTGGAGAAAATTAATACATCCTGAAGTTTACTTGAACTCTCCTGTAAGAACTCTCCTGGAATCACTAATTGAATGTTTTCTAACAAGGAGGTTTTCAAAGCACAGTTTTGTTTTGTTTTGAATTGACCTTTTAGTCTGTAACTTCCATTGAAAAAGTGCAAGGAGGCTGGCTGGTCAGCAATAACCACAGGAAGCTCTGAAACAGCAAGGTTCTTCTAATTATGGTAAAGATGTGGGTGCAAGATAACCAATACATTGCATATGTGAACCATGTAGACTTGTGGACGGACACCACCTCTTCAATTAAATAGCTCTTAGTGTATTTACATCTTCACAATGTTCCCTGTTGGGACAGCAAGAAGAGAAGTCTCTATGAGACTGTGATCTCTTCTTCTTCTTCTTCTTCCTCCTCCTCCTCTTCCTCTTCTGAGTCTGAGAAGTCTGATGGTTTGCTGGGGCTGCAGGAATGGGTTGGAGAGGGAAGCATCTGGGAATCCAGCCTCTCTCTCAGGTGTGGGTGATCTGTAGACTGGTGGTGATAGGTTAGGGTGTGCCTGGGGCTGGCTGGGCAAAGGAGGGATGCTGTTTCTTCCTCCTCCTCTGCCCCAGAACCTTTCTTGCCTACATCACTGAGATCTGGATGAGGATTGAATTTGGTGGGTAAGGTTTGTTCCCGGCAGCCACCAGATGACAGGAGCTCTCTTTCTTTCGAGTTCCTCCACTTCATTCTTCTGTTTTGGAACCATATCTTCACCTAGAATTTTCGAAAATGTACCACAAAGGTTGTTAGACATTACAGCACCCATATACATGACTCACACTAACCTTGAGGAACCGTTTTGGACAGAATCATTTGGGAACAAAATCTTTGCTGCATTGCCACTAGCTGTAGAGCTAGTAAACTGTAGTCCTTAAAGGTAAATCTCTCTGTCTCTCTCTCTCTCTCTCTGCCTAATCTACTTTCCTGGGTGGTTGTGAGGATAAAATGGAGGAGGAGAGAACCGTGTCTTCTGCCTTGAACTCACTGAAAGAAGGGCAGGATAAAATGTTACCAATAGCTCTCAAGAGGCACCCTGGAGAACAGGGCATCAGTTCATCAAATAGTACATTAACTGAAAAGTTAGGTAAGTTTTAATACTCCTTACAACCAGTGTTCCCTCTAAGCTGAGTTAGTGTAAGCTAGCTCACAGTTTTTTAGCCTCCAGCTCACAAATTTTGGTCTTCGCTCAGGAAGGATGGCTCCAGAACAAACTAATTTATGTAGTAGCCAAATCACTTGCTCTCAATTTTAATGCCAGCAGCTCACAAAGTAGAATTTTTGCTCACAAGACTCCACAGCTTAGAGGGAACATTGCTTACAACTTCTGCATCTAACTCAGCAGACTGCACTTTTAAGATCACGTTTGGCAGACCATAGTGACAGCATCCCTTCCCTTCATTCTTCTGCTTCCTGTCATGCTCCCCCCCCCCATTCTTGCTGTGTTCAGATCATCCCCTCGGAAAGCCCATCTTTCTAGTGCACCCCCCCCCACTACGACTCCCCTCTTCCATAATCAGTAGTTTTCTACTAGGGATGTTCTGGCAATTTTAGCAAACATACCTTTCCCTGCCTCTGCCCTCTGAAATTAAAAGAGTATATTTATTGTCTCTATTTTTTTCTTTTCTGTGACTACAGTCTCACTTTTAAGAAAGTAAATGCCTAACAATTCAGATTCATTAGCTATGATGAAAATAAGGGACAGTATAAAACTTGGCTGGCCTTGTCCATTAAAAGGTTCCGGCCCAGAACAGTGAGCGTTTCTGAGATCTTGTCTGCCAATTGTAACTGAACTAAAAAAATCCCAGCAGATAAACGCAGCCAAAAAAAAGTGACACCAAACAGGATTTCCTTTTACATGAGTGTTCTTTGGTTGGAAGCAAGCCACATCCCCAAGGAATTGCAGTGCACCATTCTCCTAATCTCCATAATTGTCACTAGTTTGTTTTACTGTTTACAACCTACTTCACAACTCATTTCAGCCAAAGCGCTTGGATTAAAGGCACTTTAGGTTGCAATAACAAGCATTTGTACTATGCTTTGCAAATGTTCTACTGCTCCACACACATATCACAACCCTTATAACAACCCTGTAGGGTAGTCCTATTATTGCTATCCTCATATTGTTCATAAGGGATGGCTCAGGGTGACAAGCAGAGGCTTGCTGCCTGATGCTATATAGTAAGCACATGACTGACAATATGTATATTTTATTAGAATACCATCTGTGTGCATACAGAGGGCAATGAGCTTTAGCCAATGCTCTAAGAGCATTCAGTATCACATATTCATGGCACCTACATTGTGCAAACCAAGCATGCTTAGGCTCTATCGACAAGACCAGGAACCCTACAAAAAGCAGCATCCTAACTGTATAGTTTGTATCTGAATAGGGATCTGTATACAGAGTCTCCACAGATGAATATTTGCTATTGGCAGATCATTTAGAGTTTATGGGAGTGCCCTCAAACCCATCCTTATTATGAGAGAAACTGGCTGGTGCAGGTATTTAGAGCGCTTTCTTTCAAGTATGTGTTGCTCATAAGTTCTCTTTCCAGACTCATCTGATCGGGCCACATTGCTCCATACTACTGCACTCTATAGTATGGACTACTGCAATGAGTTCTAGGTGGGGCTGCCTTTACGGACCATTCAGAAAGTTCAGCTAGTGCAGAACATGCCTTTTTACTGGGGCAAGCCACTTTAAATGTATTATCCATCAGCTATGCATGAAGATGAGAGAGAACATCAAAGCTTTCAAAGTGCTATGACGATCTGTGTGGTATCAGCTTTGAAGTTCATCATGTGAAGTCTGTTCTGCATGGCAATCTTGTACAGCTCTTTACTGTGCAGAATTCCAGTTTTATCATATTTCCATGGGTATGATGAGTTGCAGTGCTATGATAAAAATGGGAGGGTCTGCAAGGCAAGGAGCTATATGTGAAGAGGCACAAGGAGTCAACGCGATGAAATCTGAAACTGAAATCTAAGGCATTTACAGTGCAATTCCTAAGCATAGTTATACCCATGGACTTCAGTGGACTTAGAAGTGTGTAACGCTGCTTATGACTTCAATGACAGTGTTGTGCTGGTGAACCAGGGGTCATTTCCTGCCGGAGTGAACGGGAGCGGAGCTCCGGCAGTAAAGAGCCCAGGAGGTGGGCACATGCAACAAGCCCCACCCCCTGCTCCCAGCAGCCCTCAGTCAGAGCAAGAGGCAGCCAGGTAAGTTGCAGAGCTCCCCCCCTGCCCCCCCAGTCCCAAACAGTTTAGTGGCACCTTTAAGGCCAAGTTTTATTCAGGTACAAGCTCTCCCTCCTCTGCGAGGACAGACCTGCACGTCCCCCCCCCAATAGCTAGCAATCCAAAACAGTCCAGTGGAGCCTGAGCAGTGGGTGTTGCTTTCTGACACACTTTCGGTGATGTCAGGGTGTGTGGCATATGCAAATAAGTTATGCTAATGAGTTATGCTAATGAGCTCCTGCACCTCTTTTTCTACGAAATGACCCCTGTGGTGAACACAAGTGAATGCATGAAGCTGCCATAGACCATCAAGGTCAATATTGTCTACTCGGACAGGCAGTGCCTCTCAAGGGATCTCAGGCCAAGGTCTTTCGTGTCACATTCTACATTATCCCCTTTTTTTAGAAACAAAAGATTGAACCTGGAACCTTCTGCATGCCAAGCAGCTGCTGTACCACTGAGCCATGATCTTCATAGTCCCTACTATTAAACACACAAGATCCCATGAACCTGAAAACAGCAGGACTTTCTTCATGCTAAATGCATGTAAGGCTGGGGAAATTAGTCTTTCACCAGCATAAGGCTACAACCCTGAGCTCTAATCCGTCCTAAGAATGTTCCACTTGCATGTATTTCTGAGCTCAATGGCCGTTCCTAGTAGAAGTATTCCAGAGGACATCTCTATTTGGAAATGTTCCAGTGAAACTAGTGGGAATTGTTTCCAAGTGAAATATTGCCAGAAGGGGACACCAATTCTATTGGCTTCCATGCAACCAGCCTGCCTTAAATCTCACTACTCTGACTTAACTGGGTTGTGGTCAAGGACATGCTTGTTTGCTCAGCTGGGCATCTCACCAACTGCCTTTGTTGCCTCCAGGAAGTAAAGGGCAAACAACCACTCAGACTTCCTTCCACCCTGTTACGTATTATCTGTGATTGGTTACAAGGCTGATTAGTTACCTGAGAGTCTTTCAAGCCCAGCTTGGCTGCCAGCTTCTTTCTGTCTGGTTTGCTGATGTATTTCTGTTTCTGAAACATTTTCTCCAGAGCTTTGCGCTGCACATCTGAGAAGACTGCCCTGCGGAGCATTCCTCTGCGTGGCTTCCCTCGGGCAGCCAGAGGCCAAGAAAATGTGCCAGGGATGGGCACCACAGAAGAGGCTGTAAAAAAGGAAGAATAGGCACTGTAGTCAAGGGGCGGAGGGCTTGGAGCCATGGGTGTTCGGCTTCCAAAGGATGCAGCCCGTATCCCATTGAAGTCAGAGGCAAATCCCCCTTTGATTTGAATGCCTGTGGCTTTTTCACCACTAGCTCTGATTCTCTCTCTTGTCTCTCTCTCACACTCCCTCCTCTTTTTCCTTCTGTGCACTTTTCTGACTCAAGCAGATCAGCACCTATAAACCTGAAGTGATAAAAGGGAGTTTACGCTTAACTTAACTATTCTTTTCAGCCAGTGGTAACTAGATTAGATTTAGTTGCATCAAGTGAATGTATCTATAGTTGGTCTGTTTTGTTACCACGTTCAAAGATCATGAAAAGAAAAGGCCAGGAAGACTGTGATATAATAACAATAATAATAAACCTTTATCTCATCCAACTATTTGATTTTTCAGAAGGGTGTTTCTTTCTTTTTTTGCATACTAAGGACTTTATTATGTCCCAGATGAAAATGAGGGACTTTTCTGATTTGAACAAAAAAGTCTTTTTTAAAGATGCAACTTTTGATCAATCAGCATTCATCTTTTTTGTATATAAATCTTTCCTCCCACAGCCTTTCCTTACAAAACTTGCAGAATTCACTCTAAGACATGAAAAAGTAACAGCTAATTAGCACATTGACTGGTTCCCAATGGAATTGGTATGATAAAAAGGGCAGAGCTTCGCCTTTAAGGCGGAAAGAAAAACTCCCAAAGAGAAACAGAGATTCTAATGAAGCGTGAATAGTAATTGTGTAGTAATGAACTAACAGAAAAAGACTGAGGACAAGCAGCTAAAGCCATATATTATTGGCACAAAAGAGATTTACACTTTCAAACTAAACACAACTGCATGCCAGGCTCCTGGGGGAGAATACTGATGACACAATCTTCTCTTTCCCCAAATCATTTTCATTAAATGGACATGAAAAGCTATATATAAGGCTCAAGTTGTTTTTGTTGGGCCATTCAAATGCTGGAGAAAGGAAGCAAATTCCATTATCAGGAGACTGAATGGAAGAACTCTTGGCTTTTGGAACGAACTATATTAACAGCTTGTTGACGGAGGTATTTTTTTAAAGTGAATTTTAACTTTTTGCTGCAGAATTCAGATCTGGAGTTACTTTCGTGGTGTATTCCTGATTCTTATCTGATCAGCGGGACACCAGAAGACTGGTGTAGATGTGTGAGGTCAAGGATAAGAGAACCATTCCATAGCTGTGAATATATCTCTGCATAAAAACACCAAGTTAAAACTATACCGCTTGCCTTCAGGAAGGAAAAATAAATAAGGATTTAGATTTTATCAGATAAAGGAAAGAAGTGCCTGCCCAGGTGTCCTTTGTATTCCTCTTTCTGTACAGGGCTCAGAGGACCTCAGGTGGGGCTTCCAGTGGCCTCCCACCCAGGTTCTGATAAGATCCACACCTGCTTAGCTGTAACAATGTTGTAGCATCAGGCGCTCCCAGCCCCACAATGGGGTGCTAGATACGTTGCGCTTTAATGGCGCAGGACAGGTGGTTTGTATTAATACAGTAATGTATTAGCGGGACACCTGGCAGCCAAAGGGTTTCCCCGCTGTGATTCTGCCAGGCGACCGGACCGACCTGCTTGGTCGTGGTCTTTCTCCAATGGGCAGCCTGATTTTCTAACGGCAGACAAATCTGGAGAGGGGGAGGCTGGCTCCGGCCACACCGAAGTCCCCAGACAAGGGAGCGCTCCATGTGGTCTTGTGAAAAGGTTGGCAGAGCGAATGACCCTTAATGGGAAATTAGCCCATGGCTGGTAAATGTCTATCAGCAGCACGGTCGAGTCAGCGCCCGGCCTGTGTGTGGCTGCCCGGAGGGAGCTGACCAAATTGGTCATGGTGCTGAAACTTTTGTTGGCGGCCGGGAGCAGAGCGCGGCGACGCTGTGGGAAAACTGCCGCCCAGAAGAGGAGGCCGGCAGCGTCTCTGTCGAAGAGGCACCACCGTCTCACTCTTGGGCCATGACAATCCCGGCTAATTTGTCGAGCAGGGGCGGGGGGGAAATCGGGAACGAAAATGTCACGCAAGTCGCCACTTGTGCTAAATAGGGCATCAAATTGGCGCGACTGATTCTTGACTGTTGTAGCCCGTCCAACCTCTGAACTGGAGCGTCCCTCCCCTCCCTCCGCGGGACTGACTTGAGCCTCATATATAGCTTTTCATGAGCGGCGTGGTGGGGGAGGCGGCTGGGGGAGCGAGGGTGAGAAAAGATGGGCTGGGGGGGG